TTCATCATCAACTTCAACATAGAGCAAATATGAGATGTCTCCGTAAGTCTGATAAAACTGCAATTTTTTGTTTGAATCCCAACTTTTCCCAAATGCTTCGCAAATCTTGCATATCATTTCTTTTTAGTGAACTGAAGCAAACTGACCAAGTCAATACATAATCATCCTGCAGACTGTCTCCTTCTTGTCTTTGTAAATCTTCAGCCACTGTCTTACTTCTGAGTTTAGAATTACTTGACTTGAACACTTTTTATCCATAGATGAAGGCTTTCCAATGAGACAATTAACACAAGATCAATGTCTTTTATCCTGTATGATGCAATGCAAACAGAAAAATAAAGAACACACAAAAGAAAATAAATTAGTTTACATAATAAAGAAATTTAATAATAACATTTACATAAATATTCTTTATTTAAACATGCTTTTCTGAATTTAAATAATTTAAATAAACATGTAATTTAAATAATAATTAACAGAAAAGACAAAATTCATTTTCCTGTGTGTACACCTATTTTGGACAAAATTTCGGCATGACTTCTGATCGGAAGAGTTTCTAAGGTTTTTTATATGCAGGGTTTCAGATCTAGAAGTAAAGGTACCCGAATTGTCTTTGTTAGTGCCCCCTTGGGTTGCTAACCCTCAATCCTAGTCCATTACAGACTAAAGTGGATCGAGTTCAATTCGAGGGGATACATTTCTCTATGTCTGACACGGAGAATAAATTCTCACGAAGACATAGAGCATATGAACCCCGAAAGTTACTTGCTAGGTCTGACACGGAGAATAAATTCTCACGAAGACGTCGCTTTCACCCCACTTAAAAGGGACAACTCAATTATAGAGTTTTATGTAATGCAATGCAAGTGTTGTGTGAGGAGAAATGCTCAACCTTGACAGTAAATAAATAATGAAATAAATAATTACAAATAAAAATAAAACAGATAAATTATATGAAAATATAAGTATATAAAATTTTGAAAAGATAAAATTAAAATTAAATATATGAATTTTTAATTTTTAATTTATAGAGACAATTCATAATTGATTTTTAAAAGTTTGACCGTCCCCAGCGGAGTCGCCAAGCTGTCGTAACCGGTTTTCGTCCGGGCACGAATTTTTACTTGGCGGGAAAAATGATGTGAATAAATGGTTTTGAAAATAATTTAGGAGTCGCCATCGGCCTTTTGGGTCAGGTAGGTCGAATACCTAAAAAACATCTTTAAAAGAGTTTTAAGAAAACATCAATTAAAAAAAATTAAACTGATCTGCGTTTATAACCAAAAATTCGTTCTTTTTAGAATAAAAGGGATTCGTGGTCGGTTACGTTTTAGGGAAGGATTAGCACCCCTACAACGCCCAAAATTAGTACTTTGCAATTATAATTGTCTCTATTATTAAAATTTAAAAATTCAAATATATTTAATTCTATTATTTTCAAAATTATATATAAAAATTTTTTTTTTAAAAATATCCAAAAGAACTTCTAGGTGCCTTAAGACAGCTCTTTTTCTTTGATATTGATAAATAATATTATTTAATTTTTAATTTTAAATATCAGAATAGGACATCCCAGTTGTATTAAGACTGTCCTTTTCTCTCGATTTATTAAGATAAATATTTAAAATTACTATTATATATATTTATGAATATATAAAATATTTTTCATAAATAAAAATACTATTAAAACAATATATTTAAAAACAATAAAATAAAAAAACATATAAAATAAATGACTAAATTACAGTAAAAATAAATTAAAGTCTACTTCATAATTAATCAAAATTATAGGGATCAAATATGTTATTTCTGATTTAATGATTAGTGACTAAAATAAATTATCTAAAATTCGAATTTTATAATGAATAAATTAAAAATATAAACTAGGGATTAAAATTATTTAGAAATTAATGGATCAAATCTGTAATTTATCCTAAATATATTATTTTAATATGAAGGACTAAAATAAAAGAAATTAAATTCGAACCAAATTAAGAATATTATAAATTTAATTTAGTGACTAAATGTAAATTTTACAAATCCGGAGGACTGCGGACGGGGTTTAACTATTTCATAATTACGCGTATAGTCCTTCCCGAAACGACGTCGTTCGGGAAGGACTATAAATGGTCCAAACCGGCTGGCCCGAAGGGCCAGCCATTTCATTTCTTTTTTTTTTCTCTCTCTAGCAGAGAGAGTTTTAAAACTCTCTGCCTTCTCTCTAGCTTCCCTCCCCGGAGGGAAGCCGGTCACCGGACGGCAACCGTCTGCCGCCGTGACCATCACCCGCCGGCCACCGCATCCGGTGGCCGGAAAATTTTTTTCTTTACACTAATATAGATCGGACCGTCCTAAGGACGGTTCCGGTGTTATTTCTTCCTAAAAGGCTCCCAATCGGAGCAAATCTACAAAAGTACCTTCGTTGTTTCGAAGGTTCCGGTGAGATCTGGTAGTCGGAGCTTCCTCGGTAAGTCTCTTCTTCTTCCTTATTCTTTTCTTTTTTTTCCTTCTGGGGTGAGATCTGGTAGTTCGGAGCTTCCTCGGTAAGTCTCTTCTTATTCTTTTTCTTTTTCCTTCTGGTTCTTTGCTGCTACTGAGATCGTTGGTATTAGTTTGTTTTTTTTCTTTTCTCTGTTTTTTTTTTTTTCCCGGTCTGTCTCTGTCTCTGTCTCTGTCTCTTTTTCTGTCTCTGTCTCTTTTTTTTTTTTTTCGCAGGTGGGTGGTGGCTTTTATAGCCACCACCGTTGTGGCCGTCGGACCGGTCCGAAGAGTGAGTTTCGGTGAGTCACCGGACTACCAGTGGTGACTCACGAGTATCCATGGCGTGGACGGCTGCCATTTATCTTCTGGAGTCTTCGGTTGGGACGTGGCAGCGGCGAAGGCGGCGAGAAGACTGTCGGCAGCCGCGTGGAAGCTGGGGCGGCGCCGCGTGGCCATAGGGTATCAACCCTAGGGTTCCTCTCTGGAACCATGTGGACCGTTGGATCGTGCCAGATCCAACGGTTGTAATGAGGCGGCTGAGGATGTTAGGGTTAGGAAACCCTAACTGGAAACCCAAATTTAGGGTTTCTGGTTGGATTTGGACCGGTTTCAGTTGGTTTGTAACTGGGCCGTTTGAATTGTAATGGTTTGTAATTTATATTATATTTAATATTAATAATAATAATAATAATAATAATAAAATAATAATAATAATAATATTATAATGATAAATAATATTAATAATAATAATAATATAATAAATAATAATAATATTAATAATAATAAATGGATAAAAAATAGTATCTTCAGAGGTGATGAGTTCTAATAAAAAATATGTTTTATTCAAACTCGTCACTTCGAGGTGAAGAGTTTTAATAAAATATAATTTTTTTTTTAAATTCTATCACATCGCGATAAAAGTTTAAATAAAAAATTTTTTTTTATTGAATTCGTCACGTCGATGTGACAATTTCATGCATTGTAGAAAATGACATAGATCCAAAAAAAAGTGTGCCCTATTTTGGTAATTTTTTTGGGCTACCTTATTGGACCAAAAACCCAATATTTCCAAAATCTTTTAGCTTTTGTTGCCTAACCATCAATGGCCCGATTCAGTAGATGGCAGACCGCAGACCCAGATCGAAATTTCTCAAAATCAAACTATTCAAATAATATTTTAATTATCAAAGTTTTTGAAAGTTATAAAATATTTAATAAAATTTTCAATATATAATAAAATTATTATCAAATTTATCAAAATTTTGTAATTATTATATCTATAGTATGATTTGTAATAATTTTATAAATTGGGTGATCATTTTGTTTTGAAAGTTTAGTGCTAAAAGAACATTTCAGAATACCTAAGTGATATATGGTGTACTTTACCGAACTAAGAATTGCCGTTTACTTCAGTTCTAATATTATCTGGTTCGAAGCTTGAGAATTGTGTTGCGTGTCCTTTCTCTGCCTTTTGCCCTCTTTTCTTCATCTTACATCAGCTTAGAAAATTTCATAAAAATTATTTGAATCCATAATTGACGGTGATACGTTGTGTCGAATTTCATAATTGTCAAAAGTCTCGAGATTTTGTTTTAGATCTGTTGAGGGAATTAGATGATTTCTTTTTTCTCTGTGGTTTATCGTGGATCTTAGTGAAAGATGTTGCGAGCTTTGATGTGTTCTTCAATTATTCACGCCCTTTGATGTCTCTTATCTTCCCAAAAATAATCATATATGTGAAACATGTGCTCACTTGCTCTAATTTGAATGTAAATGAAATTTATTTGTGATACACCAACCGAAAATTAAGAATTCAACTGTTAATGACTTGAAATATGGATAATCCTTGGAAGCAATTTGGTGTTCTGAGTTTTTAGTGCTGACAATATCAACTTCATTTTTGGTTTCTGATAAAGTCTCTGTTGAGTTTGGGGGGTCAAGCCTTGCTTATAGAAATCGACTTCATGTTATGCAATAATTGGAGATGTTATGCCCTTACATCATTAAGAAGTATGCTAATTTTATCTGGTTGCACATTTTTGCAGTGACTATGTTCAAGCTACTGCTTATTGGAGATTCAGTGTTGGAAAATCTTGTCTGCTTTGAGATTTGCTGTAAGTTTCTTTACTTAAACTGTCATAAAGTATTCTCTTTGCTTCTTGGAGAGTTGTTGCGCATTCTAGTGTCATATGATTACCTGTAATTGTTATATTCACGTTTTAAAAAGTTCCATTGCATATACCATGAATGATGAGAGAATTTGAGTTTCATGTGGTGAACTATTTTTATGATTTGAGTGGAACACATTTTTGGTAGGAGAATAGTTTTATTGGAGATGTCAAATATCTCTGGATACTTTCGGATGGCCATGCAGGACTGGACCTTGGTACTGATCATTGTGTAATTTGTTTAATGCAGGATGATTCATACGTAGAAAGTTCATAAGCACCATTGGGGTTGATTTTGTGAGTAAACGGTCCATAGGTTAGCTTGGACTTTAAGTGCAAAATCTATAGCAATTATTTTGATTTTTTTGTCCTCGCTTGTTCTCTTTTGGTAGAAATACGCACAGTGGAGCAGGATGGGAAGACCATTAAACTTCAAATTGTATGCTTTTGCATTCTGTACTTCTTTTATTTTTTTTTATTTATTCATATCTTTGAATATTTTCTATCTAGGTTCATCCAGGTAAATATTCCTTGTAGGAGAACGAGTTGTCTGCCCTACTGCTACTCTTCCCTTCCTGCTATTTTCCCTTTTGTATATTATCATTGTATTAATATAGTCCTTCAAAGTTTCTCATAAACCTTGACACTTAGCAAGCTTGGCATTTTAGCTTCTTGATGGTTAACTAGTCAATTTGCCCTTGATTCAATGATCAGTGGGACACTGCTGGACAAGAACGGTTTAGGACAATCACTAGCAGCTACTACCGTGGGGCTCATGGCATAATAGTGGGTGATCTTTCCCTTTCTAGATTTCTCCGTTCTTTTCTTCCATTTCTCCATTTTATTTATGATTCTCATTTATTTTTTAAAATTTTAATATCCCCACCCTTCCCTGTGGCTCCTTTATTAGATGTCTATGATGTGACAGACCAAGAAAGCTTCAATAATGTGAATCAATGGATGAGTGAAATTGATCGTTATGCTAGTGACAATGTTAACAACTATGGTTGGAAACAAGTGTGATCTTACAGCAAATAAAGTTGTGTCATACGAAGCAGGCAAGGTATTTGCTAGTTCACATGCAAACCATCAATTTTCTTCTATACCTTTATAGCAGGTTTAATTCTAGAAAGAACTGTATGATTATTCAATGGTAATTATTGGCGTGTTATGTTCATCACTTCATCCCTTTCACCATATTGCTGCTTTTCTTCTTACAGGCACTTGCAGATGAAGTTGGCATACCTTTTATGGAAACTAGTGCAAAGATGCCACTAATGTGGAACAGACTTTATGGCCATGGTGCTTCCATCAAAGACAGGTACCCATATTCTTTTCCCGAAATAGTTTTAGTAACATCTGGAGTCTGGACTGTCATTTTTGACCCGATCCTGAAATCCATCCCCATTAACCTGAATCTGAATCCAATCTATCCTGAATTGATAAGAAGTCAGCAACATGAAATAACCCAAAATTTTAAAATTCCAATTGACTTGACCGGAAACTAACTGGATTGTACCACTCTAGTAATATTGCGCTGATGAATTGCATTTTCTGGTTATCTAGGTTTATGGTTCACTCTTAATACCAGAAAGTTTGGATCAATGAACTCGTTCTTTGAACTTTTACCAACAAGTCATGATTCCTATCGATTGTCGGATACTTAGTGTGTTTTAGTTGCTCATTAAAATTGCTTCTAAATGCAGAATGGCTAGCCAACCAGCCATGAACAATGCAAGGCCTCCAACGGTACAGATCCGAGGACAGCAGTTGAACAGAAGAGTGGCTGCTGCTCATAAAATGTCGAATGCTGGGTTAGTTGGAGGGTCTATTTCTTCAGTATGGTACTGCCGGTGGTGGCACGGTGTGTAAGATTCAAGTGTTTCTTAACTCGTCAGTTGCAGAACCTTATTTCATGTTTGGACAAAACCTTAGAGGATATTATCATTTATTTCTCATGTCTACACACTTGTTAATGTGAAGGGTTTGTAGAATGTATGATTGTTTGTTTGTTGATTAAATAAGTACTAGTGTTCTTTGTCAAGCTATGTTTTTTAGACTGCCTAATTAAATATAATAAAATAAATATTATGGTAAAATTTCCTTGTGGTCCAATTGCCTTTCTTTTTCCTCATGCTATAATTTGCTTCCCTTTGACCAGGCCATGGATAACACTGTAAACTGAACACCGTGCTAACAACGTCATAATTATTTAAAAATTAAATAAAAATACAAAAATATTTAATAAAAAATAATTTTTATATCACAATTCATATTCAAAGCAAGTCATAACATATATAAGTTAAAACTCATAAAATCAGTGAAACATAATTATTCAATTAACTACATAATATTTAAAGTAAAAATATTAAATAATAAATATTATATTATATAACTATAATTAAAAAATAAATTTGGGGTTAAAAAATCATAACAAAATGATATTGTTTGGTTTAATTTTTTTTTAAAAACAATCCCACATGGCTAAGAAACATAGAAGATCATCCTAACTAACTTCTATAAATAATAGAGGTAATCTAGCATTCAAAATCATAGAGCCTTTTGGTAAGCATTGAGTGAATTATTCTTTCACTTCAATCAAGCTCGAATTTTAGGCTTCAATCAAATTTCTAAAATTTTTTTGAGTTCAAACATTTTCGAGTTCAAGTTTCAATATAATATTTCGAGTTCGAGTTAAACTCATAATTTTTAGCTCGTGAGTTTGAATTGAGTTGAGCTTACTTTTAAATTTTTCAAGTTCGAGTTGAGCTCAACAATACTCGAGTTTGACTTGGCTCGTTTAACAAACGACGTCGTTTGATTTAATTTTTTTAAAAAAAAAAATTGGCGATTTTTTTCGATTTTCCCTGTTTTTTCCGGTTTTCAGTCGGTCCGGTTTGAACGGTTCAACGGTTCTGGCCGGTTCACTAGTAGTGGTTCAACCGGTCTAGATTAAACCGAATTAGACAACAGTTCCCGATTGAACGATCGGTCCGGTCCGGTTTTCAAAACAATACTGAACACTTACACCTTAGTCACTAAGTGTCCAACTCACTTATAAGTATAATTTTTATTTGGGTAAAGTACATAGATGGTCCCTTGACCATGGATGTTGCTTTGTTGAATCTCATGACTACTAAAAGTTACAAAATAGTCATCCGTTTATAGGATGTACTTTGTTGAGTTAATCGACTATTAAAAGTTACAAATTGGTTACCCCACTATTCATTATGTTCTAAATTCGTCATTTTTCATAAAAAAAAAATTGACGACAATCTAAGCTAGAAATTAATCTGCTGATTGAGATATGATAAAATATAATATCAAAATCTTAAACGACTATCATATTTCAGTTAGTATGTTAATGTCCAGTCAGACGACCGTTATTTTTTAACGAAATTGAATGAATTTAGAACCTAATGAATAATCAAATGATTGTTTTGTAATTTTTAATAGTCGAGGGACTCAACAAAGCACCATCCTATAGACAAGAGACTATTTTGTAACTTTTAATAGTCGGTGAACTCAACAAAACAATATCATATAGTCGAGGGACATTTATGTACTTTACCCTTTTTATTTCCGGTTACATGTAAGCCACCTATTTTATTTTAGGGGTAAATGATTTATTTGGTGATTTAACTATAATTGAATTTTTATTTTGATCATTTAAGTATTTATTTTGGCAAAATTTTGTGTTTTAGTGACTCGCTTCTCTACAAGGAGTGAATTCTGTCATATTTGATCTCATGATACTTTCGTCACGAATTATTGACATAGTTATCTATCCAATTTATCTTGAATATCTCTTGGATAGCTTTAATTTACTTATTGTGGCAGGAAAGAAATCAACGAATGTTTCAAGGCCGTTTTAGAACGGTTGAATGCTTGTTTAAAGAAGTTAAAGACCATGTTGGAATTCGACTTAGAGGAACTAATATTAATAGGCTTGATAGTACTAACTTAAAGCTTTGTAATGTTTGGGATATAGTCTAACCAATCTTGTATAGGATGTTCTTTAATTTTGTGATGTACGATTGGTTGATTGGTTGTATCTGAACTTCTTTAGGTAATAAAATCAAAATTATCCAAAAAAAAAAATTTATCTTACTTATCGAGATATTTAGTGTGAAATTAAACATTCAAGGGGTAGTTCATATCATTTGTTATCGAATCATTATTCTCCTCTCAAAATATATCTAATAGAATCTCAAAAGACATCTAATAGAGTCTTTATCGTTATAATTTTTAAAATTTAAAGTTTCTTCGTTTATTTTCGGATATAAGATCAATGATGATATCTCTATATGAAACATGACACTTACATAACATCACATAAATTTGAAATGGACTTTATTTAAAAAAATAAATTATATATATAATATTAATGCAATTAGCACAAATTTTGATAATATAAAACATATGCTTTTAATGAAATTAATATAAATGACTTAATTAGTTAATGATAAAAGTTTAATAGGGTAAAAAGTGATTTTTGATAATTTTTATATCTTGAGTTTAATACTCATTATGTGTGATTTTGATCCATATTCATTTTGTGACATTATTAGTATTTGATTAATATTTATAGCTTGTCTATAAATAAACCTATTAAATCACATCAGTGGTAAAAGGAATAATATTATTCTCACTAGATATTATAGATTATAGCACTTACGTCTACAAGATGTGTATACGTTGTCGATAGATTAAAAAAGTTACAAACATATACTATGTTATAATTACTCCAAACTATTAAAAAAATTAGCCAAAAGGGTAACCCTCCACTTTTTTTTAAAACTAATATGACCCTCCAATTTAGAAAAAAAATTCAATGTGGTCCTTTGATTACTTTGTGCTGACGGGACCTTTTTTCTCTCAATCCGGCTCTCCAACTCAAGAAAGTAACTCAATCTGACCCTCTAATTTCTGTTTAATGATGTTATAAATGAGGAAATTATACAATTCCTCACTCAACTATCTTCCCTATTCTATTTAGTCACTAAACTTTAAAAGTTTTCAATTTAATCACTCAACATTTTATTAATATTAATGTATGATGTGAAATTTATTATTATTATTTTATTAATATATGATTAAAATGATATTAATAAATTAAAATTTTAAAAATATATTGAAACAAAAAATATTCTCAAAAATATAATTAAATTAAAAAAATATTCCCTTAGCTTTATATATTTCCAAATCTCCATTATCCTCCTTTATCCTCTCACTTCATTTTTCTTCCTTTTCAACCAAATATTTCTTTTTTTATTCTTTCATTACCTGGTTAAGTAGCTCATCTCCAGTTTTTCAATTTTTTTACAAGTTTAATATGGGTTCACCATATCTAGTAATGAAAGGGAAAAAAAATAAATCTTTTGTGAAAAGGAAAATACCACATCATACATAAATATTAATAGAATAAATCATGATGATTAAAATAAGAGCAATTTAAAAGTTGAGTGATTAAATTGAAAACTTTTAAAGTTTAGTGACCGAAATAGAAGAGAAAAATAGGAGGGCCAAATTGAGTTATTTTCCTTAGTTGGAGGGCCATATTGAGGAGAAAAAAAGGATTTGTCTTGTTTAATGTGCCACTTCAGTACAAAGTAACGGCTCCGTCGATCAAAGATAAAAACGTTGATCAAAAGACCACATTAAATCTTATTTCTGAATTGGAGGGTCACATTGAGTTTTTTTTTTTTTTTGAAAAATGGAGGGCCTCAAGTACTTTTTTACCAAATAAAAACTATAACTCAATGGCACAAAATACTAATTATTAGACCATTATGACTAAGATATTCATCTACCAAACCGATTAGGTGTATATCTGAAAATCCAGATTCGTTACGCAAAGGGTGAAGAAATTGGGTTAAACTCACCCACCCATATTATCCACACTGCCTTTTTCTATTAGGTGGGTTTGATGAGCTCAAGTGACAGGCCATGTTCTACCAACTCCTCCATTTCCAAACTAATACTCCAAAACCATCACTATATGATATTGCAGATATGGTGAGTTCATCATGCCATTGCCTAACCCAACCATACAGGAAAGCCATTATGAATGTATAAACAAATATTATTCCTTTGACTTGGCTGGCCTCATTAGCTTGGGTTAGGTTTTGATTAAGATGTTCTTTAACACATCAAATTGCCGCATAAATATTACACCAGTTCACTGTTGTTAAAACCAAATTAAACAGATCAGCTGAATCAGTCATTTGTGGTCTGATCATATCAGGGACGGAGCCAGGATTCCGACTCAAGGTGGAGCAAAGTATAATTAATCATGAAAATGAGGGGACAAAGTATATCAACCATAGAAAATGAGTGGGAAAATTAAATAAACTAAAATTTAGAGTCCTAATTTAATATTTTTCCCATATATTTTTTAATAATAAAAAAATGAGGGGTAGTCCCCTGGGACAAAGGTAGTTCCGCCTCTGGATCAGATCAATCCTAACATATATTGTTAAATAAAATTAACAATCATAAATATTAAAAACGAACTCAAACAGAAAAATCATAATATTACCTATCTGAATGTAATTCCTTAATTGAAATGTTATGTAAAATTTAGATTTTACATCATAATATTTCCTGTTTAGGATTTAAAGTTTAAGTTTTAAGATTTATAATCAAAATAAATAAGATTACGAAACTAAATTTACTCGATTTGTATCGAATAATTTCTCAATTAATTTAAACTAACACTAATTATTTATCTTAGTAGGAAGATGAGAGAAGATGCTTGACTTTGCTTCTATAAGTTATATCCAAATTTCCTTGAGCCTCTATATAAAAAATATAACGTGCCAATAGGCCCTTCGCTGTCTTTGTTCCTTCTCCAAGTAATTAGGCTTTGAACTTTAAAACATGGGTTTAGCAGCAGCTCTCCTCCTCCTCCTCCTGGCGGCTCCGGCAGCTCTTGCCGTGCAATATATCATCGGAGACAGCGCCGGTTGGACCTCCGGCGGAGATTACGATAGTTGGGTTCAGGGGAAAACATTCACCGTTGGAGATACACTTCGTAAGTAGCTAAATATGGTTTCATCAAAACATCAATGGTCTAATTATGTTTTGGTCCCTTTACTATGATGAAATCTAGGGTTTAATCTATATTTTAATTAACATAATTGATCCTTTTTATAGTTTATATCTAAATTGATAACATAACTATTTGCAGTTGTTTTAATGATAACATAATGTGATCGTTAAAACATTCGACTACCATATAAATTTATTATCAATTAAATATGATTAATTGAATTTTCACGTAATTCTTATTGTATTATTCCTTTTTTATTATAGTGTTCAACTACGATGGCACCCACTCGGTGGATGAAGTATCCAAAAACGACTACGACAATTGCAACTCCGGCAATGCTTTGAGAACTCACAACGATGGAAGGACGGTCATCACACTTTCAAATCCGGGATCGATGTATTTTATATGCCCGACCATAGGACATTGTGCTGGCGGCATGAAGCTTGCAGTCGATGTTGTAGCAGCCGGTGGCAGCTCACCGTCTACCCCATCAACTCCATCTGATTCACCTACTACTCCCGGAACAACACCGAGTGGCTCGACACCATCGCCTCGGCCTAGCGGAGCTCCTAGCATCATGACTATGGTTTCTTGTTGGATTATTGGCTTATTTACTTGTGTTTTTTATTCAATCAGTGTGAATTTATTTTATTTTTCCTTTTATGAACAGAAGATGATTTATTTCTTATAATCTTTTAAATAATTTACCTTAATTATGATAGAAATAATTATTTTACTCGTATTTAGTTTTATATACTTTCGTAATTCTTATAATGATTAAAAGCATTCATAATATATTATATTTAAAAAAATCATGTCATCTTTTTAATCAAATTAATTAGAGCACTAATTCTTCAATTTTTTGTGATAGAAAGCAGTTAGTTTTATTAAAATTAAAAAATATTTATAATTACAAATAATATTTACAAGTATATCGTAAACAAAATATAATTATGAAATTTTCCATAATCATTAATACAAAAACTAGCCAACTATATCATACAAGGACAAAAGAAAGAAATGTTAAAAACCTAACCAAAAAGTCGAAAAATAAAGATACAAATAAATCTGACTACATAATCAAACGAACCACAAAAAGGGGATGAAGCTACTGAAGACCATTGGTAAATTGCAAATAAGAGTCGAGCGACATGAGAAAACTATCCACGAACGCCAAACGAGTATCCAAATCAATCCGAGGGTCTAAAGCATTGAAGATCAACATGATAAAAAATAAGCGACATCTTGATCAGTCGTGACGATGTCAAATTCATCCATGAAATAAAAGATAAACGAAAACAACAGCCAAACAACCAAAAACTACCAAAAGAAGAGAAAAACGCGTCATAAAAGTATAGATAAACGACGGTCTGCAATCAATATTAATATCATTATCATCATCGACTAACAAAATCAAATAAGAAAAAAATTTACTTCATCTGTATAAAAGTGAAAGATTAAAATATAAAGTTTAAATTAAAAACAGTAATTTCACCTGAATGTATTTCAAATAGTTCAGTTAAACATCATTATCAATTATGGGTATCTTTTGTTAGTAGTCTACATCAAATGAAGTACAAATATTAGTAATTAAAGATTTTAGTAGACAATAGAGAAACGGTTTTCCATTTTTCAGGCTAAACAACGTAAATATCATATTGGGTAATTTTGGGGTCACATCTACTTTGGGTAAACTATACTTGAGATCACTTAATTATAGGAAAATTTTAAACTTGGCCATCAATCATTGATTTTATTAATCGGATTATTTAATTATTGAAATATATTAATCAAGTCATAGCATTTGACATAAAGTTGATGAAATAGTTTAAAAAATTATAATTACACATTTAATTCTCATTACTGATGTATTCTATCAATTTTATTCTAGTTTTAATTGAATTCAATAGTTTTAATCATCTAATCAAATGAAGCATGTGTACATGGACGAGCAGGATCAAATGTTAAGAGGGATAAAATAGTTTTATATCGAAGAACAAAAATCTATTAAATATTTAAATCTATAAATTGAAGGAGGAACAGAGGATTTATTTAACTAATATTTAAACTAAAAAAGACCTAAAACCATGTCCCCTGCATGTGTCACTAAATCATATGCTTAATATATTAATTTTTTAACCGTCACCTCGGCTCGTCCATTGATAGCGACGAATAATTTGATTGATATCATTTAATAGTTAAGTGATTTGATTGATAAAATCAACTATCAATTATCAAATTAAAATCTCTAAAATATATGAATCTGCACCATCCATTATCATTTCTATCAAATTATGATTATTAGGGCATCGTTAGTCGGGGAAAACGATGACAAAAAGCCCAAACCAAAACTTCAAATGCCCTATCACTTGTACTTAGTCCATTAAAATCTTTTCCACTTCGATAGTCGGCAAGTGTTCTTTGTTTTCTTCATTCTTTACTCGAGCAACTGAGAGCAAAAAGAGTGAGGGAAAACAATGGCGGCCGAGGAGGAAACCGGAGAGTTTTACCTCCGTTACTACGTAGGGCATAAAGGGAAGTTCGGGCACGAGTTTTGGAGTTCGAGTTCAGGCCGGATGGGAAGCTCCGATATGCTAATAACTCCAACTACAAAAACGACACCATGATCCGCAAAGAGGTCTTCTTAACACCCGCCGTTCTCAAGGAATGCCGTCGAATCATCACAGAGAGCGAGGTCCCCTCTCGTTTTAAACCCTTGCAACGTTTTCTTTAATTCAACTTGGCCTAGGGTTTGGGGTTGTTCATCTTATTTGTAGTGGAAAAATTGGATTATTTTCCCTTTTTTTCTATGTTTTGTATAATAAGATAGTATTAGCTATCTTTGTTATCAAATTGCCCAGCTGATTTTTGTATTCTTTGATAGGTTAAAGGATTTAGTTTTTAGTTGATAAGTGATTGTTTCCGTGATTAATGATAATTTATGGGTCTTGTGTTACAAACTTGCAGTTTTTTATTGATTATGGTTTCTTGTATTGTTCAATTCTATTGTTTTGTCATTGTAGATCATGAGGGAAGATGATAACAACTGGCCGGAACCTGACCGTGTGGACGGCAGGAGCTCGAGATTGTGATGGGGAATGAGCATATCTCATTCACCACTTCAAAGATTGGGTCCCTTGTTGATGTTCAGAGCAGTAAGGATCCTGAAGGTCTTCGCATATTTTATTATCTGGTTCAGGTCAGCCGATGTACATTGTCAATCTGCTATTTTATCTCTGCATTTTTGTTATGATTGCCGTCTTCCCTATGCTTGTACATTTGTGTTGTGATCGTCTTTTGTATTGTATCGTTGAATATGGGGAGATGGTATTAGTTCTCTAACATTGGTAATAATTTGAAACAGATGATTTTTTATTTTCATTGATGGACACTCGACGATTGATTTTTGCGAATTATTTCTGCTTTTGCACTCAGTTTCTTTCTTGCTTTTAGATGCAATGCTGAAAGGCTAAAGTTGCTGCGCTTTCATGTCTATTTGAAACGAATAACCAAAATAGTGGGATTGTTAGTGAATTAAATTTTCGGGTGGTGAATAGATATAAGCTTACCACTCCCATTATCTCGAGTAGTTTACCTGATTCCTATGCTTTGCATAAGCCGAGACACGGATGTTGGTTCTCGTGTGGATTTAATAGCTTTGTTATGCTATAGTCTGTAGGATATGCTGGTTTATGCTTATCTGTCTCTGACCTGATTGGCATTTATGTACTGCAGGACTTGAAGTGCTTCGTATTCTCTCTCATCTCACTCCACTTCAAGATCAAGCCTATTTGAAGAGAGAATCCGCTTCCGTACTAGGTGTCACAAGTGGTGATTTCACTTGTGTTGTAGCTTCCATTTCTTTCTTTTCTTTTTCTCGCCTTGTTCTTGTTCAATTTAAATGGTTAAGCTAAGGCTATGCCTGTAGTGATGGTTACAATGATTTTGAACTTTGGATGAGAATGAGATGCCATCAACTGACATGGAGTTTTTTGTTTTAATGTTTGCGCTTGTTTTTTGTAGTTCTTTCCATTACGTTACATCAAATATATTGAATCATTAATATCATTAAAAGCATTAGCGATACTCGCAATTTCTGAAATCAAATCGGAACACCGATACCACTTGCTCGAAGTAATCACATGTACATTTTTATCTAGTCAAATCTTAAAAGACATGTTTGTAAAAGGAGGACCGGATCAGAAGTGTTTGTCAATCATCCTTATCATCGTGTAAGGAGACTATACGAGGGCATATCCTCCAGCCGTGTTATGTCTTCAAGTAGAAGCTCCCTTTCCAGTTGTCGACGTGTGGCCTTCATTGTCTATAAAGCATAATAATCATTCGGAATAAGAACATACTTCTCGGCAAAAAAGGGTAATGAATGAACGATGATATAAGTTATAAAATATCCGAGCCCTATTATGGTTGAAGAATACACATTGAAGTCCATGTAGGATGCACGCATAGCAAGCCACTGATGGTCCATTAGCTTGAATGTGATACAATAGAGAGGCCAAACGCTGATTCATTTTCTATCAAGTCCAAAAAACAATGCACAATCATGGTTTTAATTTTTTTAACAGCTATCTAATGTATAAACTGTAAAGTTAGATTAAAGAAAATTGGCATTACCTGAAAGGAACTTTAAGAAAACTGCTCCTACAATTGTCCTTGGTTTGACTGTAGAAATGAAGCACATTGTTAACTGATGAGAGACATCAAATAGCTATCTCAATGAGAATGCTCACAAAAGAAAATGGGATTTGCTTAAATTGGTGCTTTTATTTCAACAAGCAAGATTGTGCTGGTGGAAATCCCTAGTTTTAAGGATACATACCTGCATCAAGATCAAGCATCTGAATGAGCAAAGGCGATGTTCATACCAGCAACAGCAAACGGATATTCCCACACAGACCAATCACCTTCCTGCTTCAAAGAAGATCCTTGAAGGATTTCTGCATGGAGATGTTCAGAAGCACCTTAGTGTTAGGATCAGATGAACAGAGAAAGATTTAAAGATAAACCAAATCTAGATTTATGGAACGAAAATGTGGATGGAATGTTTTACCAGACATGACATAGTTATAGTTAATGAGAATTATTATTTTTTAAGGTATAGTTATTAAGGATTTTGAAAGAGCTGTTTTTGTCTCATGTGGATCATCCCCTTCCCCTGCCCCCACCGTCACCCTCTTTCCTTTTACCTTCATCATTGCATGTATGCTTGTAGTTCTTTTATCTTTATGAATATAGCATGTATACTTAGTTCCAAAACCCTTCTAAATTTTCCATACTGGAGAAAATTAAGGAAAGCAAGGCATTATGGGTCAGGCAACACAAGATAACTAAATGGACATACCAGAAAATTCCTAGCAAAGAATAATAGGTTCTCCAAGGATATAAAACCACCACCCTGTGAGATAAATCCAAAGATCAAAATTAGCTGACTCTATTCCTATATGTAATGGGGTAAGGGGATGTAGGATAGTATGCTATCCCCAACGCCAGGTTGAGAGCAGCTTCCGTGGAAGACCTCCGTTATGAATTGCCCTCAGTAAGACTTAATCCCACGACCACAAGGTTAAGAGCCTTGCGCTCTACCAACGAGCTAGATGGGCAGTTATAAATCCAAAGATCAAGTACTTACCAAACAAATAGTCATTCAGGAAAGAGAAAATGCACAAACGA